GAGGAGCTGGGACTCTGTGTAACACAGATAAATGGCAGGATCACCCTTGAGAAGCATGGAGAATCTTTGGATATAAGAAGTTTAACGGTGGAATCTGGAGTTGGGCTTGGTCACTTTTAATTTTCTTTGAAATACAGGCCAGATTGATGTGGAAGAAGTATTATAAGGCTCATAAAATCAGTGTAATAGTTGTTATGGGAGTCAGGCAGAAATTAACTAGCAATGCTGAATGCCTTCTGAGATGTGGGTTCTAGTCTTGGCTTTACTACTAACAAGTTCTATGAATTGAGCAAGTAATTCAACCTGTGTACACATTTGTAGAATGAGGAATTTGAATTAGACAATTTCTGAAGAGCTTTCTAGCTTATTTTAGAACTCAGCACTAAGTCCATTATAAAGTAATATAACCCAATAAATGCTTTATTTTTTTCCCTGATAAGAGTTACATCTGGAGCAAAAATCTTAGGCCATCTTGGATTATACCTAAATTAAAAATCCACATGGAAAATTAGAAAGCTAGTTAGAACAGAGCGGAAAAAGGAATGGAAGACTTATTTTCTCTCCTGATTTTAAAAAAAATATACCCCTCACCCACCAAAACCAAACAATGCTCACAGAATGATCCAGGAACTCAGTTAAGGAAAAATGATGAAAGAAATTATCATTGTGTTTTTGGCCTCCAGCTCTGAAGAATTTCTCAGTGAATTCCAGCTGTGGGTTAAATTATCATGAAATTCCAACAAGGAATTGAGGAAAATGACACAGCCTCAAGGAAAAGCTTGTAAAGAAATTCACTCCCAAGACCTGGCTGCTGGGCCTCTTTAAGAAGGAACTGCTCTGAAGAAACAGGTTTGACAATGACTGAAGCTGTAAGCGTTATGGCTCCCCTCTCAGTGCTCTCAGACATTTTGTTCATAATTAAGCTTTTTGGAATTAAACTGAACATTTTCCTGGAGATCATATGCGACCTTGCAAATAGAGTTAAGACTACATTCATCAACAATCGACTACCTGACGGTCCTGTGAGAAAATTCTTTACATAAAAATTCCAAAGCAAGGCTGGGTGTGAGGCGGCTTCCACCTGTAATATCAGCTAATTGGGAGGCAGAGATTGGAAAGATCGTAGTTTTGGATGTATGTTGATTGGACTGGGCAAAAAGTTAGTGAGATCCCATTTCAATCAATAAGCTGGCATGGTGGCACACACCTGTCATCCCAGTTACAGGTGGCCATAGGTAGAAGGATCATGGTTTGAGGCCACACTAGGCAAAAGCGAGACCTACCTGAAAAATAGCTAAAGCAAAAACTGAGTTGGGTGCATGGCTCATGTGATAGAGAGCTTGCCTAGCAAGCTTGAGGCCCTGAGTTCAAACCCTGTTCCCCTCCTCCTCCCCCCCACAAAAAAATCCAAAGCAGCAGTAAAGCATCCAAATTATACCTGAAATGCCAGAAAATCCAGGCCCCCTAGGATTTACTGAACCATTTAGCCTGGAACACTGGGAAGCTGTGTGCATCTTCTGGGCTCATTTAGTTCCAGCTCTTGGCTAACTGAGTCTCTAAGAAGAAGGAAGAGGAGGAGGCCTCAAATAGAAGGTGAGGTGCCAGACCATTTATCTATTTACACTTCTGCTCCTGGAGGGCAGAGAAATTGTCTGCCTTTTATCTTTTTATCCCTACTGCCTATAATAGTGACCTGCACATAGCAACTTCCTGAAATATGCTCATAGGATAAATGATGTGACAGATCTACAATTCAGTGTTCCAAATGATTAAGGGAAGAGAGTATAATAATTTCTGAGCATTTTAAGGTGTGAGCAACAACAGTTCTTTTCAGTTCTACTTACACAGAAAGAGATGGCATGTGGCCTTTTTAAAATTAAGAATATATATGTTCTTTCCCTTTATATATAATATATATTATATATTACACAATGTATACACATATTTTCCTGAATACATGTATGAGCATATGTTGTTTTGATTATTTCCACACATCTCTTGCCAGGCAGACTTTTGAAAATGCTGTCTTTATTTTGTTATTCTTCTGATTAAGGACCCATGATGACTTCTAGTCACATGATATATTGGTTTGGAGCCTTAGGACAATTTAATATAAAGCAGAGTTTTCAATTAAATCCAAGATTTCATCAGCCTTGTGTAATGGAAATTATATAGAATTATGTTACATGGGCATAATTATTAATCAGTTACTACTTGAATGCTAGAATCAGAAATTCAACTCAATCTATTTTAAGCAAAAAGAAAAAAGAAAAGAAAGAAGATTTCTTTGAGGCACTGGGAAGTGGAGGAGATTGTAGCTGACTGGAGCAGAGCCAATTCCAGTGTCTCAAATGACATGTCAGGACCTTGTCTCTCTCTTCCTCCTTCAGATTCACTTATTTCTTTTTGACTTCAGTCTTCAGTTAGAATTTTTCCTCTGCAAATGAAAGATGGCCTCCAAATGCTTCAGGCTTACACCCTTCAAGTTCTATAGTGTCCAAGTAGAGGAAATCGCCTCCATTAAATGCAGAGGAAAAGTTCTGCTTGGCCTAAACCGTGTGTCAGCCATTCCTCAAATCAATCACCATGGTGGAAAGGATGGAATTTTGATTGGCTAAATCTGCAAATCCCCTCCCCGCCATGTCTCCCAATATTGATTGGCTACATCTAGATTGATGCCTCTGCCTTGTGACCCAGGAAGAGTCAATCCCAGGATGGCAATTTCCTGTGGGGACGGGCAGTTCTACAAAGGAAAAAGTGGGCGTGTTTTTGTAAGGGAACTGGATGAATAATGGTAGCTTAGCAGTCCAATATACCAAGCCTGAAATGTAGCTTGTTTGTGTAAGTCTGATGAACAAACTGGTCTCCATCCTGATTATTCAGGGGTCCACACTGAATGGCTAATGTACGTGCTGTACAGTTACCATTGTGAACTATTTGGAATACCATCATTGTATGACAGTATCTCACTAGTTATGAGTTAAAAATAACATGCTATGTAATATAAGCCCAGTTAGACACATGAAAAGGGCATTTCTCTTTATGGAACAGAAATTACCCTTTGTACTTAGAACATTTTTTTGGCAGAGTATTTTTCAGAGCCTGATCAGAAAGAAGCAGGGAGAAAGAATTGGTGAAACCCAATGCCCTTTGTTTCTCATTAAGAAAAATAAATACCATGTATGTCTAGTCCTTCTGAAATATTTATATCACTCTCCCCAATATCTAAATGTGGTTTGACTTTCAGATAATAAGACTGAATACTTCTGTCAGTAGTGAGCTTAGGGAAACACAGCTAAGTCCCAAGTCCATAAAATGCCCTTCAAAAGCAGTCATCCATTTAATTTGATCTATTAAACAAACTTAGCAGTTGGGATGCCCACACAGTGAGAAAGTCTGCTTAGAGATGGAATTTTGGCTTTAATTGGAATCTTCTGTCCTTTATTAGACAACCATAAGCTTCCAATTATACACACCATCCTCATTGCAAATATGAATTTATAAAAGCTTATGAATTTTCATTATTAGCAACAGATTTAGGAATTAAAAACAAGCTCCTGTCATGAACAAATAGAGGTTTTTTTCTTATTTCTTTCTTCCCTTTTTTTGCCATACCCCCCAAAGATTATTGATAATTGACCAAATATACACTGTGTATCCATAGCTGCGTTAGTGATTTGGAGCTGTGAAAAAGAAATGTGAAAACTAATTCCTATCCTTGAAGAAGTCAGGTAATATATCACAGGAGAAAAAAATTAGCATAGTAGAACAATTGACTAATAATTAGGTGGTTGCTTTGCCGTTTTCACTAATGATGTAATAACTTCCCCTCTGTTTCAGTCTGTTCAAATTTTACTTCATGATCCATCTTCAGAATTTTCCTTCGTATAGCTTCACTTAATTGCTTGAACGTAATGTGGGGTCCATATTGTTCTGAACCACCTACCCAAATGCTTGACTTAAGTTGTCACTGTCTTCTACTGCCTTTCATTATTATAGATGCAGTCCAGCCTCCGAAACCTGGTGAGAAACTTACTACCTCTCGGCTTTTCTCCTCCTGCTCCTCTATCTGCACACTACTTTGAAGGCAAACCAAACCCTAGTGCCAAACCCTAACCAAGTAGATAGAAAACTGGGCACTAAAATCAAAGTGCCAAATGCTGTGAATTTCCACATCCAGTTCTCTCTCCTGGATTAGCTTTTTCCTTCTCTCTCCCAATTTAGCCCTGTACAAGCTCCCTTCCTCCATTAACAGAGCTCAGACATCCCTTTCAGTGAGCTCGCCTCCTTTTCCAGCCTCTACACTGGAGTTTGTCTACATCTCTTGTACTTATTTTTATATTTTCTGGAGTAATACCTTGTTTTTGTGTCTGCGTTCCCTTTCTAGCCTTGTAGCATTAGTGCTTTTCTTACCTTGGAATCCTGAGAGACTAGTGGAATGCCTGGCACACAGCAGGTCCTCTCTAAATTTTGCTGAAATGAGTTGGGTTGCATGGAATTAAGTAGGAGGGTAGAGGAGACTTGAGGTGGCCAAAGATCCTGAGCCCTGAGTTTTACATTGAGGTTGGAATGGGGAAAAACAATCTCAGAGAGGTGGGAAGTGACAGGAGCAATGCCCTAGCAGTGAGTGTGAGTCCTGAAGACCTGGGCACTATGAATGGATGCATTTGTTTGACATGGAGGTTGTAGAATGGGGAGTGTTGGGAAATAAGTCAGAAAGGCCAGACAGGGCCATGGAGATTCTGAATGTCAAGCAGAGGAGGTGAAACATGAAGCAATATATAATGCAAATGAAGAGAAGAAAAATTTAGAAGTATTGTTGCACAAGGCAAGCTATATCCCTCTATGATGTTTCTGTTTTGGAACTTAGATTCTAATAGTTAATACGTCACTAGCTTCAGTGGGACTCGTGTAACCTGAGCACAACAGTGTGAAGCAGAGTGTGATGTGCTGGGAATCAGAAGCCCTGAAGTTGACTTTCCACTCTGGCACTAATTTGTTTCCTGATATGGTGAAATTGTTTTAGTCCCCAGTGTTCTCCTCTGTAAAATGAAGGCAGAAAGGTGGATGACATGATTCAAGAGTTTCCTTTGATCTCTAGGACTCAACATACAGTAAGATAAGTGATTCTTTGCCAGTTTACTAATCTTGGTTTCGTTTGCTAGTTTGCTTCCCTGTTTTCTGGTTTCTGGGTTGCTTTACTAGACTGCTCTTTCATAGTCCCAAAATCTGCCCTGCTGAGATCATCCTCTGAGGTCCTGACCATCTCGCCACTCCTAGAGAGTCCTCTTCAACCCTCCACCCCTCCTTCAAACCCACCTTCAGCTGGCATTTTTGTTTTGCTTAGTTGCAATTTTTATTTTGAGATTACTGTAGATTGGCACTCAGTTATAAGAAACAATACAGAGAGGACTGTGTACTTTTAGCTAATTTGTCCCAGTAGTAGCATATTTCAACCAGGATATTGACATTACATTCTCAAGACATGTAATATTCCCATAATCACCAGGGTCCCTCCTGTTGCCCTTTTAGAGCCATTCCCTTGTCCCTGGTTAACCACTGGCAATCACTAATCTGTTCTCCATTTTATAATCTTGTCATTTCAAAAAATGTGATATATATGGAGTTATGCAGTTATGTAACCTTTTAATACTGGACTTTTAAACTCAGCATATTCTTTTTAATATTAATTCCAGTTTTGAATATATCAACCACTTATTCTTTTTATTGCTGAATAGTATTTCATATTGTGGATGTACCATGGTTTGTTTAACCATTCATGCATCCAAAAGAATGTTATTTGAATGACTTCCAGCATGTTTTCCAAATTTTGGTCATTATGAGCAAGGCTGCCATAAACTTTTACACACAGGCTTTAAAAAAATGTGTGTGAGCATAAATCTTTATTTCTCTGGGGAAATGCCCACGAGTACATTATGGTAGTTATGAATAATGTTCTTTAAAGAAATTGCCAGACCAGCTGACACCATTCTTGAAGCTTTATGTAGCCCCTCCATGCCTCTGATCTTTACCCTTCACTTTTTGGTGTTTTGCCTTTCACGTTGATGTTTTTCTCTCCAATGGGTCTGTAAACGTCTTAAGATAAGTAACAGTTACATGCAACATTTGTTCACCTCTCCTGCCCTCTCCCCACTCTGGACAAATCTAGGTATACAATAGACATTTAATAAGGCTTTTTTTTTAATAAAATGAACTTAATGATGAATAAGAAATATTACGAAAATAGGAAAAACATCAAAAAGACATCTATTGGTTGAAGTTGAAGTGATGTAGCATATCAATGATTTCATAGAAGGTATTTCGTACCTAGCAAAGGATTATTTTAAGACAGGATGATCTGCAGGGTTTCTGGTGTGTGGGCTTGTCTTGAATTAAAGAGTAGGTGGGAGTAGGGCCTAAAGACATCCCAGCCAACTCAAGGAAAAGAGAAACAGAGAACTGTTTACTGAATGACTTTGCTGTTGGATATATCCCAACTGCAGCTTGGGAACATCGGGCAGAGTTACCACCTTGCTGCCACAACCTCTGCCAACTTGGATGAGAAGAAGTGAAGTTGACCTGTCTCTTGGCTCTGGAACAAGGCAAGCAAATGCACCAGCAGGCATAGAAAGGAAGAAGTTGTGAAATGAAAGACATGGAAGGGATGACTGTGATCCTCTTTCTCCCCACTATCCTGAGCCTCTTTCCTGCCTATTTGATGCCTGCAAGGTGATATAAAACAGAACATTGACCCTACACCAAATGGGGCCCTAGGAGTCTACCTTAGGGTTGCAGAGGGCACTAACACTCAGTTGTTTTAGACTGTTTTGTCCCCTAAAGTGGTCCTAGGTTTAAAAAGGGCTTAATATCACTGCTCTCAGAAGGTTATAAGCTTTTAAAAAACATAACACTTTTAAAAGTCAATGTGAAATAAAAGATCACTGTTTAAAGTAGCTGAGCTCTAGAACTGGCTGTCTCAGGGCTCTCTTGATGGTAAATTAGGCAGAGAAATAAAATATCTGAGGTTAAGAACTCCAAATCCTGCCTTTGCTATCAGATTGATTCAGGCTGTTGATGGTAGGAAAGTTTAGGAAGGATGAATTTCCCTATACACCCCTCATTTCTAATATTTCCCCCAAGCTGTTAGTATTTATAACAGAAGAACTCTGCATTGCATTGATTTGTCTTAGTGTGGGGGGAAAGTGTAGGAAAAATTCCCGTGTGTCATCAACTATTTAGTCAGCACTCAGTTCCTCAGCAGGGGAAACGGTAAGATTTATTAGGGAAAGTATCCGTCATCCCATATAAATAGATGCACAGTTAAAGCAGATGCAACCAGCCAGGGTGTATGTTTCTGTGCCGCTGATCATAAGGAATTTTTTGCAAGAACTCTTGAGAAAAGTCAGTCACTAGGGAAGAAAGCAAACATAAGGGCACACTTACACTTTATGTAAAATATATTTCAAAGTAGTAATTTTATTTGGTAATTATAAGATTTCTTTTGCTTTACATTTTCCTATTGAAAAAAATATAATGCAAATGATAAAACAGTCTAGAAACAGGAACAAAATATATAAACTAGGTCATTTGTCACTGCTGACCTCAGCTCCCCAGTCTCCCCTTCCTCTAGAGGCTACCACTATTGTCAATTTAATTTTGTGTTATTCAGAAATCTCCAGCAGGATGAGTGGACCCTCCTCTTTAGTTCCTACACACACGTCAGTCCATTCCTCACACCCCTCTGCACTTTAGGTTTTTCCTTAACATGTCTGGAAATCATTTCCTATTAGTCTGTACATATGAGCCACACTCAAGTTCTTAGCAGACTTAACCAATGTTATCACCTTGCCATAATGGTTCTAGGACTTTTTGTTTGTTTGCTTAAACATTACAGATGCATTTTAACTACAACTCCCCCTCCCCGATCCCATTGGTCTCTGCCCAAAGGCAATTCCTCTCCTGAAACGAGCATGTACATTTCTGCCTCCTTTTTTATGTATTTAGTACAGTGTGTTTCGTATTTCATTGTGTGACTGTGTCATTATTTATTTATCTACAACTTTATTTCTGAATGTTCAGGTTATTTCCTTTTTTTCTGTTAAAAACAGTGCTACAATAAACATTCTATTTCATGTCTGCTTGGGCAAATGTACAAGAATTTTTTTAAGGATATCTACCCATAAGTAGAATTGCCAGGTCACAGGGTGTGCACATCAACTCCATTTGACATTGCAACATGACTTTTTGACAATATGCACTCACAACAGTGATGTATAAAAGTTCTTTTCTTGTTCTTTCTTTGTTTTATTTGCTGTTTGTTTGTTTTGATACAGAGTTTTGCTACGTAGCCTAGGTAGACCTAGAATTTGTGATTCTCCTACAGAGCCATAGCAATAAAAACAGCATGGTCCTGGCACAAAAGCAGATATGAAGACCACCAGAACAGAATAGAGGACCTGGGTATGAATCCACACAGCTACGCCCACCTAATTTTTGGGAAAGGCACCAAAAACATACAATGGAGAAAAGACAGCCTCTTCAACAAATCTTGCTGGGTAAAGTAGTTACCTGCCTGCAGAAAACTTAAACTAGATCCATTCTGTCACACTATACTAGTATCAACTCAAAGTGGATTAAGGACCTTAATAACAGACCCCAAACCTTGCAGTTAGTACATGAAAGAGCAGGGAATACTCTGGAACTAATAGGAATAGGCAAGGACTTCCTCAATAGAACTCCAGCAGTCCAGCAACTAAGAGAAAGGATGGACAAATGGGACTACATGAAATTAAAAAGCTTCTGCATAACAAAAAAAAATGGTCTCTAAACTGAAGAGACCATCCACTGAGTGGGAGAAAATCTTTGCCAGCTACACATCAGACAAAGGACTGATAACCAGAATATACAGGGAACTCAAAAAAAAAAAAAACCCTCCAAATTAATGAACCAATAAAGAAGTGGACAACTGAACTAAACAGAACTTTTTCGAAGGAAGAAGTCCAATGCTTACCATCCCTGGCCATAAAGGAAATACAAATCAAAACCACACTAAGATTCCACCTCACTCCTCTTAGAATAGCTATCATCAAGAACACCACTAACAACAAATGTTGATGAAGATGTGGGGAAAAAGGAACCCTCATACACTGCTGGTGGGAATGCAAGCTAGTACAACCACTTTGGAAAACAATATGGAGATTTCTTTAAAAACTAAACATAGATCTGCCATATGATCCAGCAATACCACTCCTAGGAATATACCCAAATGAATGTGTCTCAGGTTATTCCAAAAGCACCTGCACACCATGTTTATTGCAGCATTATTCACAATAGCCAGGCTATGGAAACAGCCAAATGTCCCACTACCAACAAATGGATTAAGAAAATGTGGTATTTATAAATGATGGAATTTTATTCAGCCACAAAGAAGAATGAAATTTCATCATTTGCAAGTAAATGGATGGAACAGGAGAACATCAGCTTAAGTGAAGTTAGCCAGGCTCAGAAGACCAAAAATTGCATGTTCTCCCTCATATGCAGATTATAGCCCTAAAACAAATGCAGTAATATAATTGGACATAGGCCACACACTAAGGGGAGACCACACATGGGAGGAATTAGGAAAGGGAAGGAAACCTAAAACTTGAATATGGTTGGTGTGCCCAATGTAGAGGAGTGAATGTTGTAATCTTAAACTGGCAGAGGCCACTAAGTAGCCAAGAGGTTGGGTAAAGATGAACCAATGTGGGTTGCAATACACGTGTACATGGAAGCAATGCTAGGTATCTCTCTAAGTAGCTAGCCTTATCTCAAACTAGCAAAAACGCTATGTTTTTCTTATTATCACTTATGTCTTCTCTTCAACAAAACTGGAGAACAAGAGGGCTGAACAGACTCTGTCCAGAAGGGGAGGGGAGAGAGGACAGGTGACCCAACCAATGTACACATGTGCAAGTAAATGTAAAAATGATAAAAGAAAACAAAAGATATCTACCCATAAGTAGAATTGCCAGATCACAGGGTATGTGCACCTCAACTCCATTTGACATTGCAACATGATTTTTAACAATATGCACTCACAACTGTGATGTATAAAAGTTTTTTTCTTGTTCTTTTTCTGTTTTGTTTGTCTGTTTGTTTTGATACAGGGTCTTACTATACAGCCTAAGGTGGACCTAGAACTTGTGATTGTCCTGCTTCAGCATCCCAAGTGCTGGTATTACAGGTATGTAATGACATGCTTGGCTTTCTTTTTCTTTCTTTTCTTTCTTTCTCTTTCTTCCTTCCTCCCTCCCTCCCTCCCTCCCTACCTTCCTCCCTCCCTCCCTCCCTTCCTTTTCTGCCTTCCTCTTTCTGTATGTCTCTCTCTGTGTGTGTGTGTGTGTGTGTGTGTGTGTGTGTGCACATGTTGTCTCCCTTTTTTTCACATCCTTACCAACACTTAGGATTTCTAGAGTTACCAACCTGATGTGGGTGAAATAGTACCTCACTGTAGTTTTAATTTGCATTTATTACTGAAACTGTACTTTTACTATGCTTTTTGGCTATTTAGCTTCCCTCTAACAATTAATATTGATAACTTTGACAGTTTTTCTACTGCATTACCTGTTTTTTCTGGATCTTTTACTTTCTGGATATTAATACCCAGTAAAATGTATTATAATTATCCCAGTTTGTGGCTTGTATTTTCACTGTTTGTGGAATGTTTTATCTAATGGAGTTTTAAAATATTTTAATGTAAACTTATCATGCTATTGTCTGCAAAAAACTGAAACTAGATCCATGTATATCACCCTATACCAATATTAACTCAAAATGGATCAAGGTTCTTAATATCAGACCACAAACTCTAAAGTTGATACAGGAAAGAGTAGGAAATACTCTGGAGTTAGTAGGTATAGGTAAGAACTTTCTCAATGGAACCCCAGCAGCACAGCGACTAAGAGATAGCATAGAAGAAATGGGACCTCATAAAACTAAAAGCTTCTGTTCATCAAAAGAAATGGTCTCTAAACTGAAAAGAACACCCACAGAGTGGGAGAAAATATTTGCCAGCTATATATCAGACAAAGGACTGATAACCAGAATATATAGGAAAACTTAAAAAACTAAATTCTCCCAAAACTAATGAACCAATAAAGAAATGGGCAAGTGAACTAAACAAACTTTCTCAAAAGAAGAAATTCAAATGGCCAAAGAACACATGAAAAAATGCTCACCATCTCTAGCAATAAAGGAAATGCAAATTAAAAGCACACTAAGATTCCACCTCACCCCTGTTAGAATAGCCATCATTAACAACCCCACCAACAACAGGTGTTGGCCAGGATGTGGGGAAAAAGGAACCCTCTTACACTGCTGATGGGAATGTAAACTAGTACAACCACTCTGGAAAAAAATTTGGAGGCTACTTAAAAAGCTAAACATTGATCTACCATTTGATCCAGCAATACCACTCTTGGGGATATACCCAAAAGACTGTGACACAGGTTACTCCAGAGGCACCTGCACACCCATGTTTATTGTGGCACTATTCACAATAGCCAAGTTATGGAAACAGCCAAGATGCCCCACCACTGACGAATGGATTAAGAAAATGTGGTATCTATACACAATGGAATTTTATGCAGCCATGAAGAAGAACGAAATGTTATCATTCGCTGGTAAATGGATGGAATTGGAGAACATCATTCTGAGTGAGGTTAGCCTGGCCCAAAAGACCAAAAATCGTATGTTCTCCCTCATATGTGGACATTAGATCAAGGGCAAACACAACAAGGGGATTGGACTTTGAGCACATGATAAAAGCGAGAGCACACAAGGGAGGGGTGAGATAGGTAAGACACCTAAAAAATTAGCTAGCATTTGTTGCCCTTAACGCAGAGAAACTAAAGCAGATACCTTAAAAGCAACTGAGGCCAATAGGAAAAGGGGACCAGGAACTAGAGAAAAGGTTAGATCAAAAAGAATTAACCTAGAAGGTACACACACACACACAGGAAATTAATGTGAGTCAACTCCCTGTATAGCTATCCTTATCTCAACCAGCAAAAACCCTTGTTCCTTCCTATTATTGCTTATACTCTCTCTTCAACAAAATTAGAGATAAGGGCAAAATAGTTTCTGCCGGGTATCGAGGGTGTGGGGGGGAGAGGGAGGGGGCGGAGTGGGTGGTAAGGGAGGGGTTGGGGGCATGGGGAAGAAAGGACCCAAGTGTTGTATGCACATATGAATAATAAAACAATAAAAAAAACTTATCATGCTATTATTTACACTTTCATTGTTTTATTTATGAAAACTTAAAAATGCAAAAAAGATATTCTCCCATTCTTTCTTAACTTTTTAACGCCCTCCCCCCTCATATAACTCAGGACTTTAATCCACGTGAGATGTATTATTGCTGTAGTATGAAGTGGGAAATCAAAATTCTTTTCCCCTGGGCATAGCCAGCTGTCCTATCACCATTTATCTAATGTTCTCTACTTCCTGCTGACATGTAAGCCAACTCTGTTCTGGAGTTCTTTTTCAAAAATTTATTTGGGATGATAATCTTATGAATTGTGCTGTATCATAAACCAGAGATGGTTTTGATTTTAACAGGATTCTGAAAATTTGTAGATATAAGGTACTAATATTTGTATTCCCTTTAAAGAATGTGAATTACTTGTGGATAACATTTATGTTTAAATATCTTTGCACCTGTATTTTACCTCTGAATATATATCTCTTTAGCATCAGGGCTTCATTTTATTTTTGTTTACCTAGGAAAGTGGCATTTAACTTGTTTAGTATTATATTCTTTTATTTTAAATGTTCTCTGTATTATTTTAGTAATGCTTTATAATGGGTATGGTTAAATTTCATTAAATGTGAACTGTTTAAAATAAAATTGCAAGGAAACTCCCTGTGTAGCTCTCTGAAACAAACAAAAATGTCATTTTGTTTTCTTTTAGAAAATTGGAAGGGCCAAACAAGTCCTATCTTGGGGGGTTGATATCAGTGGGAGGGGGGAGGAGGTAGGGGAAGGGTGTGGGAGGGTGAATATGGTGCAAATACTGTGTATATGTGTATGTAAATGGAAATATGAGACCTGTTGAAACTATTCCAGGAATGGGGGGAGGAGGGGGAATAAAGGAGAATAATGGAGGGGGTGAACTCAAATATGATACATTTGATACATTGTAAGAACTTTTATAAATGCCACAATGTATCTCCACCCAGCACCACAATTAAAAAAAATAACAAAAAAATCTTTTCCAGCTTTGTCTCTTTAATCTTCTACATGAAATTTGGAGTCAGGTTGTTAAATTCCATAAAATGCCAGTTGGGACTATGATTGGAATTACAGCAATTCATAGATTCATTACACATTCATAGGAGAGCTGACAGACTGACACAGCAACTTGCCATCCTTCAGTATCTCATCTTTTCTCCAGTGCATCTTTTATGTGGTGTTTTGTAATTTTGCCCAATAGGTCTTGCATATGCTTCATTAGGTTTTTCCTTTCATACCTTGAACATTCATCCTCAATGCTGAATTCTCCTGTTTGTTTGCATTGTTTATCTACACACATTCTCCTATATTTTCTGTGCAAATATTTCTCTAGTCTATAAATACAGTCAATTTTCTTTCCTTCTTTCTTCTGCTTCCTCCTCCTCCTTCTCCTCCTCCTCCTCCTCCTTCTTCTTCCTCCTTCTCCTTTTCCTTCTCCTTCTTCTTCTTCTAGTATTGCTCTGGCTAGAACTTCTAATGCAATGTTTAAGAGAAGTCTTGACTTGCTCCTGATGCCGAAGAGCACATTCTAATGTTTTCCATGGAGTATTGTATTTTCTGTAGGTTTTTGGTAGTTAAATGTGGAAGAGACTGCTGGGTCCTCTTCTACATTGGTTCTTTCTCTTTTCTTCAGCAGAATCTCTCTCTGGCCTCTGGAAACACCTGTCAACTAAAATGCTTTCATATGCCAAGCTCCTTCATCTAAGTGAGGGCACATACTTGGTTCTTGCCATGGGATGTAAGTAGAAGTCACATATGCAAATTCTAGTAATAGCTCTTAAAGTGAAAGCATAACCACTTTCCCCTTTTTTTTCTTCCTGCCACCCAAATGCATATGTAAGGACTGAAGTTAAAGAAATTGTGTTGTACTTGAGGTAATCATAGGAATAAAGATCATACAGAACAATAAAATGATAGAAGGATCTTAGCTATGGACCACTAGTGTTTTACTTGAGAGAAAAATAAAAGTCTACAGAGGTTAGAGTCTTCTGCCACTCACAGCCCAGCCCAATTCTGTAGCACTTTTCATCACTCTGCCAGCCGTTACTATTTCTTTAATGTGAATTACTCTTTTATCTTTTTGTCATTATATAATGATCCTCTTTACTCCTTATATTTTTGTCTTAAATTTTAATAAATCAATGATAATACTGTTAAATGTTGCTAGTGCATTTTATTTGTCTATTTACATAATTACCTCTTTGTAACATCTGTGTTTTAGTCCCTACCATGACTATTTCTTTAATGTGAATTACTCTTTTATTTTTTTGTCATTATATAATGATCCTCTTTACTCCTTATATTTTTGTCTTAAATTTTAATAAATCAATGATAATACTGTTAAATGTTGCTAGTGCATTTTATTTGTCTATTTACATAATTACCTCTTTGTAACATCTGTGTTTTAGGTGTGCTTCTTATAAGCAATACATGGCTGAACTTTTAAAAATGCTGAGTATCTCAGTTTGGCACAGTAGTACATTGTCAGTAGGCAATGGGGAGGCTGAGGAAGGAAAATTTCTTGAGCCCAGGGGGTTAAGGCCAGCTTGAGCAGCATAGCAAGACCATATCCTTTTTTGGCAAGTTCAATGTAGTATCTTTACATGTAATTCAGTTACTGAAATATGATTTAAGTTGTGTTTTTTACTTATCAATCTTTGACTTTGATTCTTTTTTCTTCTTTACTTTCTATTAGGCTGATCTGTTTTTTTGTTTTGTTTTGTTTTGTTTTTTTTAATTCTCCCCTGTCTTCTCTACTGGAAGTTAGAGGTTAGGAGTAAAATTTAGAGACCTTAGTGAAAAATTAAAGCCCCAGGCTTCCCTACTACTTTCACAAAGTGGATGTTTGGACTTTTCTACTTCTTTTTCATCCAGGGGTAGCTCTTCAAGAGCTTTCCTTCAAGGATGTTTCTTGGGCCCCCAGAACCTGGTCTCAGGGAGCTCAGAGAATTTACTTGTTCAGCTTTGGACCTTAATCATAGAAGGTGGCCAGGGGACTGGTTGGGCTCTGGGTCAGCCCCCACCTGCCCAAAGCCAAGGTCAGTATGAGAGACAATGGCACCAGAAGAAAGCCCCGAACAATAACCATTTACACTGATCATCAAATGAATGAGGGGTCAACTCAGACTGAACCCACAGTTATTTTGTTTTCTGTCTTTATTCTAAAACCTTTTTTTCTTCCTTTTGCACTCAACTCTTTCTTTAAAAGTTATTTTTGTTGCATTCTACCAGCACTTGTATGTGTAGGTTCCAATCTGCTCTGCTCTACAAAACCGTGGGAGTTAATTTACATATTTTACAGAATGTTTACAACTTCGAAGTCTCACCTTCCACCTCAGCTCTTCTGTTTTTGTCTGGCTTCCTCAGTTTCTGTTCAGCATCTTTACAAGCAGATTCTCTTTCTCTGTCTTGCTCCTCTGCACTGATGATTCATTTTGAAGTCCTAAGTATCTATGTAATCTTAGCCTCACTTCAAATTCTCCTTTCTCTCAGATTGAGGCAGGTCAGACCTCTCCTGCACACCAGCTCTTGGACACCATGCGCAGCTCACTTCCATGTAAGAAAGGAGGACGTCATTCTCTGTGCTGGGTATGTTGTCTTTTTCCTGTACTCCAAAAGTTTCCCAAATGATGCCTGTGACAAATTTCAGCTTTCCAGCTGGACCCACCCTAGCTATGATGGAAACATATGCAACTGGAAGCAGCTGACATGCCCAGACTTTCCAGCAGTGCGCTTTCCAATACATGGGGCCCTTATTTCCTGCCACTTCTTTCTGGCTGGGCAGCTCCCTTTAGCCACAGGCATTCCCTGAGTAGCTGTCTGAATTAACATCTGAGCTTGGCCAGCACTAGTGCAGCTGTGGGCTCTGGCATTGCTGCTCATTAGCAAATTCCCCAGTAAGCCTGCAGAGCTGCCTTGATTTCTCTTTTGGGCGTGATTATCTTAGAACGAGGCCAGCTTCATAGGTGAGACCTATGCAGCCACACTGGGCCGCTCACTCAGAAAACACAGGCCTTGGGTTAATGTTCCGATGTTGCTGATTTGAAATCTTAAATAATTCTTAAATAAAAGTGTGCTGGGCTCCCCAACTTATGTAGCCTCCTCTTACTCAATGTTGAGAACAACACTGGCACTTGGGGAAGTGGGTGGGGCTTGTTGACTAACCCAGTCTTTGGAGTCCAGAGCAAGAATCATTACAAGTAATTGTTTCAAAATATATTTTCAGATGTAGTGCCATATTCTTACAGGAAGCTTCCCAGACAAATAAAGTGCTTCAGGAGAGGGAGAAGGATAGATACCCTCTGGAATAGCTGTCCCTTGTAACTTCTTTTTGGTGGTACTGAGGCTTGAACTCAGGGCCTCATGCTTGCTAAGCTTGCTAGCCAGGTGCTCTACAACTTAGCCACTCTGCCAGTACGTACCTTTAACTTTCCATGATTATGTTAATGCTGTAAATCTTTTCTGCCCAATATAGTGGCCAATAAAGACACATATGGCTACTGAAAACTTGAATTGTGATCAGAATGACTGAGAGCCTGAATTTTTAAATTTTATTTAATTATTTAAAATTTAAAGTTAACTAGTCACCTGAAAGTAGCGGCTGCCAGATTGGACAATGTAGCTCTAGAACAACAAAATAAATTCTGACCTTTATGCTTTGATTATATTTTGCAATGATTCTACAGACTGAGACATTGTGCAGAAGGATTTCCTAAGCTTAGATTTATCAAGAAACAAAGATGGAGGGTACTCAAGTCATAGTGTTCTTTCTAGGTGCAAAGAAGATATCCTTCCTACCTATGAAAGCTAGGTCAGGAGACTCATTGCTCGGCCAACATAAAGATAATGCATGAATGAATGAATTGCCTAAAGACTGCCCCACCCAATTCCAAAGGATTATGGAAGAAATAAGAAAGACAAAGAGGCAAGAAGGCCAGAGGACAGATTCTTGGCAAGGAGTGGTGATGAGGAGGTGGTAGTAGGAGGAGGATTGACAGATGAGCTTGAGCCATCACTCCTGGGCCCACATGACTAGGTGTTATACAGATGATCCAGCAAGTCCTGTGTGTTCTGATAAGACACAAAGTTTTTGAGAGCACAGAGGTACCTCAGAGGCCTCTGGTCATAACAAAGAAGAAGCTGAGTAGAGGAACTTTGAGCTGACCAGAACCACAAATTCCAGAAATAATTACCTAAAAGTTCAGACTGGAAAAACAGCATTTTAGTGGTCACCAGTCCAGGAAATAGGAAAATCACTGAGGATCCAGGTAATCCCACCTCCACTGCAGGAGTTATCCAAACTCTTATAGAACCCATTACACATAGATACTAACTTGGAGGAGAACAAGGTGACAGAGAGAGAATGTAAATGCTTATTATTTTACCAAAGAAAGCTAAAGAGAATTCACTTGAAGAGGTCATCTGAATTACTGAATGGAACTAAGATTAACTGAATGGAATACAGGTTAGGGTTCTTTTTTCCAATTCCCTCTTCGTGAACAGATAAATGGAAAAATAAAGAAGCTACGATTTCCTTGGATATCTGAATACAGAGTAAGTGAATTTGTGACTCCACTGTAAATGTGTTAGTTGTCCTTAGAAAGCAGATATGGACAGCAATTCTATTCACAAGTTTTCACAGATTTGGAGTACTTGGGGAGAAGGAACAGATACTAACCTGCTGAGCTGAGTCTGAGAGCCAGTTACACCAGAATCATAGCAGAATTAGTCACTTAACTCATGGACTCCCTTTGTTTATGGACACTTAACAACTTTACATGGAATTTATATCCTGGTCTCCTATTTGGACATGGAAGAGGTTATAGATACCACAGCCTACCAGTCCAAGTGTTTTGAGATCAATGGGAGAGGAATAATCTGACAGAGTATGGTGTCATTTAGCTTATGCATTGCCATAGTCATCTTCTCATGCTTAGTGAATCATATCCGGGATCAAGGAGGCAAGATATACTTGGACAAAGTCCTAATGTATTTATCTGGACCTAACATCCCATTGTAGTGTCTATACAGCCCTCTGTGGGCTACACTACCACCTGCAGGCCAGTCCTAAAAAGTACATGTCCAAGACGATGGAGGAATTCCTAGACTGAACTCTGTTAAGCTAAGACAGTGCATTGTGCTTCAAGTACTCAGATTCCTGAAGTAGGAGCTCACGTGATCCATTACACATGTCTTACCATAGCTTTTATAAAAAACTGACATTCTCAAAAGAGAACGAAGTTTTTCTCGGCTCTCAGATGCAAATTCAGCCTTCTAACAAAGCCTCGCTTAATTCCTCCAATCTTACCCTTATCTACCTGACCCACCCCAGTGCACGTCTCCAACCATTGATGTGGGAAACATTAGACCCCAGGAGGTCCTATCTTGATGATTTCACATATGGGTTTCCTTTTGTACAAAACTGACTAGTGGAAAATTCAATTTCTCACCTTCCTAATGATCAGGAATCATTTGTCACAGAGGAAGGAGTAGCTAAATTAGATATAGAAACTCAGTTTGTACCAGCCACCTTCTTTAGGCACTTTGGACTTACCATTCATACTTAGTCCTGGAAGTCATAGAACCATAAGGGAAGACTACAGCCCATTGCTGGAAATCAATCATCTGCTGGGAATTCCGAGGATATTCAGTTGTGATCATCACTAACAGAGGTAACCAGGTCAGGCAGTAGCTCACACAGTTGGACTCTTGTGCTTTCTAGGTGTAAAAGGAATAAATAAGCCTTAAGTTTATGTGCTGAACTACTGGAAAAATGATAATGTCAATAACTGTAGTGGAGAAAACAGTGGGAAAAATAGTTTGGGAGATAAGATCAAACTATTCTGAAAGTGTTCAATTTGAAATGCTTATTAGATGTCTAATGGAAATGTCAAGTAGGTGGAAGGATCTGCTAAGTCTGGAGCTCAAGAAAATGTCAGGATTGGAGAACATAGATCTAGGTGTTATTGACAGAGAGACAGGAGTTAAAGCCATTGGACTGGCTAAGATCTCCTATAAAGTGAGTGTATTTAAAGAACAGAAGAAGTTTAAACAATTTCTAGAATTAGAAATAAAAAGGAGCCAGAAGACTGCAAAGAAAGCAATGAAGGATGTAGAAGGAAAACTAAGACAGTGTGTGTATAAACCCAGAATCCAGTGCCTGACTGAGACTACTGAGAGGTCAAGAAAGAGAAAGACTAGGAATCATTTAGAGGATTTGGAGATACAGAGCTCACTGGTGATCTTCAGAAGAATGGCTTCAGTGCAGTTATAGGTAACAATACATGGTTGGAGAAGATGCACCAAAACTACGAAGTGAAGGGGTGGGAGGTATGGCTCAAGAGGTAGGGCATGTGCTTGCAAGTGCGAGCACCTGAGTTCAAACTCCAGTCCCACCAAAAAACCAAAAATAAAATCTATGAAGTGAAGAAGAGACAGTGAGTATTGACAAGTCATTTTAGAAATGATGATGTAAAGAGACCTAAATAACAAGAGGGGTTAGATAGAGGAGTCCACAGATTCTAGGGATGGCATATTTATTTTAAGATGGCTGTCTATCTATCTATCTAGCTATCTACCTACCTATCTATCTATTGTGTGTATAAATGTAAAGGAGAAAGAGCAAGATTGGCTACTTGGTCAGTAGAGGTTCTTTCTCTCTTTTTGAACACTAGAAACCTTACATGGGGAGAACATTTTTAGTGTATCTTGAAAGGAATTTTTCAATCTACCTATCATCTATCTATCTATCTATCTATCCATCATCTCCATCTATGGAGAGAACATGTTTATATGCTGATGGAATGATTGAATAGAAAGGGGATATGTAAGGCTGGGCGCCGGTAGCTCATGTCTGTAATCCTAGCTACTCAGGAGGCAGAAATCAGGAGAATTATGGTTCAAAGTCAACCTGGGAAAATAATTTGCAAGAACCTATCTTGAAAATACCCAACACAAAAAAAGGGCTGGTGGAATGGCTCAAGTGGTAGAGCACCTGCTTAGCAAGCATGAGGCCCTGAGTTCAAACCCCAGTACCGCCAAGAAAAGGGTGGGATATGTAGAGATGCTGGAGAGAATGGGTAATGAAAAATATTTCAATAAGTGAGAGAAGAGCCAGGGCTTAAGTTGTAAGGTATAAGAGAACTTAAACTCAGTTTTTTCATCATATAGGAAGAAAAGGAAAAAAAACCCTCATAAATATGATGATAAGAAATGCCATAGCTGTCATCTAGTTGCTTCTACTTTGCGATACTGAGGTTTGAACTCAGGGCCTACACCTTGAACCACTCCACCAGCCCTGTTTTGTGATATATATATATATATTTTTTGAGATAGGGTCTTATGGACTATTTGCCTAGGCTGGCTTTGAACCACGATCCTTCTGATCTCTGCCACCTGAGTAGCTAGGTTTACAGAAGTGAGCCACTGGTGCCCAACTACTCCTACTTTCTTAATAAAAGTAGACTTGAGAACTATTTCCACTAACACTTGTTCACCTGGTTCACTGAGACCTTTTTGAAGGCTCAGAATCCAATGATTTGCCTGGATAACTGAGTCAGACGAGCCCAGGAATATGACGAAAGCTTGTG